TGTCATCGATATGATCGTTGTCAGAGTGCTCAATTTCATTAAGAGCACTTAAACCCCAAAACCCCAAAACCCCTTCGAATGAATTTTCTTATTGGATGAAGCATTTAAACAAATTATTAAGAAATCCAATTACTATTAAATATAAATTTGAATCTTTTTGGCTCTAAATTTGAAAGAAGATGGACGAAGATGAAACTTACCAGAGACTTACAGGTCTCTCGGCTATGATTCAACAAGTTTACTTGCCCTTGATGGAATCTAGAACAGAGACAAGACTACACATGGAGAAGTTTGTCAGGCAGATCTCGATCTCCCTGCAACAAGCCTATGGAAACGTCACCATCAAGGTGCCCTACGTTCCCCCCAATTTAACGGACGAGGAGATTTGTAGGAACCGCTCACTTATTGAGGAATACCAAAACACTATTGTAAGTCTATTTTCCAATTCAGAGACTCAAACTCATTTATTATCCTATGGAATGAGTTTTTGAATTTCTTAAAATGTGGATCTAAACCCCATTGTAGGAAGAGTGGGCTCAGACAATCAAAGAAACTATTGACAGAGAAAAGGAGCGCCAGAAGGAGATGAATACTGCCTACGGAGAGGTCGAGTACTGGAGATCAAGATCAGCTACCTTCAACACCCTCTACCAGCAACTAACTATGCCTTAAGTTAGAAGAATCCAATCGGTAAGATATCCAAAACCAAACGAATCCAAACCATTGATTTCTGGAATTGCCAAATAAATTTAAATTTAATTTGGCTCCCTTTTAATGAAAACCTAACTCCCTCACTTAAACATTAATCTTAATTTCATAACTACTATAGATTATGCAAGCTAACGAGACTTTGAACCAAGACGCTTTCAGCATGGAGCACTTCAACTCTCAATGGCAAAATTTCTCAAAGTTGCATGCTCAAGCCAAGGACTTCGTGAAGTTCCTAACTACTTTAGAAAGATAGTTCAAGAACATTACAAGAGGAGAGCTGCCCTCAATTGAAGAGACCCTTCCATCCCTCTTGAATGGTTTGAAGCTCATTTGGACCATATCCAGACATATCAATCAGAATGACTCAAAGATGGAAGACTTGCTTGAAAGTATTTCAAATGAAATCTGCGAGAAGGTTAGCGCTCAAATAGATGTCAAGAGAATTTTCAAGATAAACCCTAATGTGGCTATAAACACCATCACTTAAGGCATCAATGTCCTTGAGAAGTGGCAAAAGCAATTCACTCAGACTAAAATGGAGATCGAGCAAGAGTCTACTGTAAAGAGATGGGATTTCCAAAAGACCAAGGAAATCTTCAACAAGCCTAAGTACATGAAGCAGATCCTCGATGACATCAAGGAGGCTTGTAACGTTCTAAAAGAGTTCTCCTCTCTCTTGGGTAATGATCTTAAGGCTGTTACTGGTAGTTCTGAGCAAATTGATATCGTAACTGACAAGGTCAAGGAATGCGTGAGCAAACTTGAGAGCTTCCCAGGTAATGTCTTCAACTCTGACAATGATGAGCAATGGAAACTGATTTTCGATGGCTTCAAACACTCAATTGCTCAAATTGAAGACGAGACTAGTAATCTTATTAACACCACTTTCAGAGAGAAGCTAAACTCAGCTGAAGGTGCCTTTGATCTCCTTCACAAGTTCAAAAATATCGTTACCAGACCCAGAATTGAAGAGCAAATGAAAAACAAGTACACTGATGTACTTTAAAGATATGGACAAGAGGTCGCTGAGATGGAACAACTCTATCTTAGAGGCAAAGACAATCCACCTATCTCTAAGAATATGCCTCCAAATGCTGGTGCTATCGCTTGGGCTAGAAGCATTATGGGAAGAATTAAGACACCTATCTATAAGTTTAAGACTAAGGAAGGATTACTCCAGCAAACAATAGGTGTAGGTGTGACAAGACAGTATATTAATCTGGCGAAATAACTTGATTCAGACTATGAAACCAAGATCTTTTAGGACTGGCATAAAGAAAACACTGACTAAGCTATTAAACTTCTCAAGTACTTCATTTTGGTGAAGAAGCAAGACCCTGAGACAAAGTAGTACCAGTACTTTGTGAACTTTGCTCCTGAACTGAAAGTAATCATTAGAGAGGCTAAATTCTTGGACAGAATCGGCAAGGATATCCCATAAACTATAATTAACATTGCGCTTTAGGAGAAAGACTATATGCGTCACATTGATAAGCTAAACTAAATGCTGAGAGGCTATAATTCTGCGTTAAGCAAACTTAAGCCTGTTGAGAAGAAACTGCTTGAGAAGCAAATCCTCAAACTTAACAGATGGATGGACAAGGGTGCTGAGAATCACAACTGGTTCTCGCTCTCAATCGCTGAGTATATCAGAGAGTGTCAAAAGGCCATTGATGAGTTCAAGGAAATCAAGAGCAGAGTCCTCCAACACGCTCAGAACATTGAAAATAAAGTACTCAGTATTGAAAATGCAGTGATTGTTAGAGAAATAGACTTTGAGAGAAAATCCCCAATGGATATCACAGAATTCTCAGACTTCTTTGAGACTTACAGAATTAAGGTGGTCTCAGAGCTTGTTAAAGACTACCAAAACATCGGAGATATGTCGCTGAAGAGCATTGAGGAGTGCACAGTCAAGACAAACAACCAAGGTGCAGAGGAAATGAGGCCATACTACTACTATTGGGAAAGAAGAATCTTCAATGCAATTACCAAAATGATTATCAGAGCTCTTGCTGCCAATAAGACTCTCTGGGTTAGAACTGAGAAACCCTCTCTGATTAAGATTCTGTCATCTTATAACCACCCTGATATGACTTACCACCCAACAGTCGATGAACTCAGAAACCATCTTGAGAAGTTCACCAGAGGCATTTTGGAATCTACCAAGCAGTTTGGAAGATGGTGGGACGGTTTCTGCAAAATCTTCGAAGAAAGAATCCACGAAGAGACTTCCGAGAAGTACATTCCATACACCTTCTACGACGAAGTCATGCTCAACCCAGTTGTAACACACTTGCATTATGAGATCTGCCAGGCTAGAAACTAGGTCATTGATAAGTTCTCTCTCTTCTCAAGAGGTCTGACCAAGAAGTTCGACTTCAAAAAGCTATTTGATAAGAATGAAATGACCAAGCTACAGAAACTTATCTATAAGAATTAGCAAACTTCAGAAATTGAAAAGGGTATTCTACTATTCAAATCAATAAAGAAGGAAATCAAGAAAATTCCAAATGAAGCTAGAAACTATTTCATTCTTGTTGACCACTCAGAAGTGAAACAAGTTACTATTGAAAAGGCTGGTGAGTGGCTAGCTCTCTTAGGAGACGCTCTAGTCGATATGGCTACCAAGGAACTAGGCCAAATCATCAAAGATATTGGTGAGTATGAAAGATAGTTGAAGGCTGAGATGGGTGGCATCGACAGCTTAAAGCACCTTTTGAATGTAATCAGTGAGATCAAGAACAAATCTATGGATATGGAATTCAGAGTAAATGAGGTCCAAGAGCAATTCAGAATCCTTAAGATGTACAAGTACGAGATCAAGGAAGAAGTCTAAGTCCAAGTTGATGCTCTAAGCACTAGCTGGAACGAGCTGCTAGAAATGGCTGACAGAAAGGACTTCGAGGTGAATGATTTCAAGAAGAACTTCGCTGAGGTCACCAAGGGAGAGGTATTAAAGTTCAAAAATGAACTCAAGGAAGAGTACGAGAAGTATATCAGCAACGGTCCAGGTTCAGACCACGTGTCACTAGAGGATGGAGTTGAACTACTTCAAATGAGTAAAGATCAGAACAGAAGGTTCAACAGAAGAAGAGAAGAATATGTGCTGGCTGAAAAGCTATTTAACTTACCCATCTCAAAGTTCCCAGAGCTAATCAAGATGGAAGAAGACAACAAGATCTATGATGAGATCTATCAGATCTTTAAGGAGCACTAACAAGGTGTCAAAGAATGGAGTATGATGCCATGGTCAAAGCTCGATGTGCAGGTGCTTGTCAGTGGAGCTGAAAAATTCGAGAAACTAGTCAGAAAGCTTCAACAAAAGATCCCCAACGCTGAAAGCATTCCACCATTCGTCAAGCTGAAGACTACCATTACAGGTTTCAAGGACTCCCTTCCTCTTATTCAGCAACTTAAGATCCCTGCTGTCCAAGAACGCCATTGGAAAAAAATTATGGAAGAGACTGGAAAAGATCTCGGAGAAATCAATCTCAAGACTATCACCCTCTCTAAGGTGTTTGAACTTGAGCTACAATACTATACTGAAAAAGTAGTAGAAATCTGTCAAGAGGCCAAGGAAGAAGCCAAGAATGAAGAGAACTTGCAAAAGATCGAAGGTGCTTGGAAAGTACAAAACTTCGATATCCTTCCCTACAAAAAGGGATCTGAGCTTAAGGGCTACGCTATCAAGTCACCTGATGATATCAGACAGTTGCTTGAAGATAACATTCTTATACTGCAGAGTTTGAATGCGTCAAAATATATACGAGCGATCAAAGCAAAAGTGTCGCAGTGGGAAAAAGATCTGAATACGATCAACGATGTCATAGATGCCTGGCTTATTGTGCAAAGGAAGTGGATGTATTTGGAAAGCATCTTCGCTAGTGATGATATCAGAATGCAACTGCCAGATGAAGCAAAGAAGTTCAACAAAACAGACAACAATTACAAGAAGATCATGGAAGCGGCGTTTAAAAACCCTAACGTCATCCAATGCTGCGTGAGAGCAGAAGGTGGTAACAGACTCGGAGAGCTTAAGAACATTTCAGCCGAGCTCGACAAGTGCCAAAAGTCACTTACTAACTATTTGGAATCCAAGAAGATGAGTTTCCCCAGATTCTATTTCATCTCAGATGATGACTTGCTACTCATCTTGGGTAGTTCAGACCCCAGAGCTATTTCCGCACATTTGCTTAAGCTATTCGATAACTGCAAGGATGTGATCTTTGGCAAGGGAGATAAGCAAATTATTGGAATGATATCTGATGAGGCAGAGAAATACGAATTCGAAACTCCACAGAAACCCGAAGGTAACGTCGAGGACTGGATGAACAAGGTTGACAATGAAATGAAGAAGACCCTCTTGACAATTACTAAGAAATCAGTATTCTACTATGCCAAGCAAGACCGTTTGGAATGGATTAAGGAGCAACTTGGTATGGTTGCCCTTGTTGGCACTCAGATCTGGTGGACATTCTAGGTCGAGGATGTATTCAGAAGAGTCAGAGAAGGAGACAAGCACGCCATGAAGAAAGAGCTAGCCTAGGAAACCAAGGACTTGAACGACTTGATTGCTATGGTCAGATAGGATTTGGACAACTTGATCAGAAAGAGTGTCAACACTCTGATTATATTGGATGTGCACGCCAGAGATATCGTGGAAAGATTCGTCAGAGACTCTATTCTAGACGCTAAGGAATTCGAATGGGAGTCACAACTCAGATTCTACTGGGATAAGAAGAAGGATGATATCGTCATTAAGCAATGTACTGGAACATTTGATTATTGTTATGAGTATCAAGGACTTAATGGTAGATTGGTTATTACTCCACTTACTGATAGATGTGTCATGACATTGACTACTGCTCTGACATTCAAACTAGGAGGAGCTCCTGCAGGTCCTGCCGGTACTGGTAAAACTGAGACAGTTAAGGATCTCGCTAAATCCCTTGCTCTTCGTTGCGTCGTTACTAACTGCGGTGAGAACTTGGATTACTTCGCTATGGGAATCATTTTCAGTGGTCTGATCCAGACTGGTTTCTGGGGTTGTTTCGATGAGTTCAACCGTATCAATACTGAGGTACTCTCTGTCGTCTCAGCCTAAATTCAAACTATCTAAAAGGGTCTTACTTAAGACAAAAAGAAGATTGACTTCTTGTCGACTGATATGAGACTTATCCACACCGTTGGTATTTTCGTCACCATGAACCCTGGTTACGCTGGTCGTTCCGAACTTCCCGATAACTTGAAGGCTCTCTTCAGACCAGTTACTATGGTCGTGCCAGATTTGATCCTTATTTGCGAGAACATGCTTATGTCTGAAGGTTTCAACATGGCCAAGATCCTTGCCAAGAAGATGACAGTGCTTTATAAGCTATCAAGAGAATAACTGTCTAAGCAATATCACTACGATTTCGGTCTAAGAGCTTTGAAGTCAGTGCTAGTTATGGCTGGTCAACTTAAGCGTTCATATGCTGACATGAATGAAGATATCGTGCTAATGAGAGCCTTGAGAGATATGAATATGCCTAAGTTCGTGTTCGATGATGTTCCCCTGTTTACTGGATTGATTAACGATCTCTTCCCAGGACTCAAAGCAGACAGAGTTGGTTATGAAGACTTAAAGGAAAAGATTGTGGAGGAACTTGAAAGTAAGAGATACAGACACTCTGACGATGAAATCTTCATGGACTAAGTTAACAAAATTATCCAGCTTTATGAGACTATGGGTACCAGACATACAACTATGGTCGTTGGTCCTTCTGGATCAGGCAAGAGTGTTATCATCAACTCACTTGCTGCTGCCCTAAAGGAAGATACTGGAATTTCAACCAAGATTGATACCATTAATCCTAAGATGGTCACTTTGAATGAGCTTTATGGAGTGCTCGACCCTGATAGCAGAGACTGGACAGATGGTCTCCTTTCTAAGACATTCAAGGATGCTAATACAGAAATCCCAGGTAAAACAGAGAGAAGATGGATTATCTACGACGGAGATGTCGATGCAGTGTGGGTTGAAAACATGAATTCAGTCATGGACGATAACAAGATTCTCACTTTAGCTAATGGTGATCGTATTCGTCTTCTTAAGACTTGCGCTATGTTGTTTGAAGTCTATGATCTTCAATACGCCTCTCCAGCTACCATTTCTAGATGCGGTATGGTCTACGTTGACCCCAAGAATCTAGGTTACGCACCATTCTTTGAAAGATGGGCAAAGGAAAAGCATGAGAAGTATTCAGAGGTAATGTATGAGAGTTTGAAAGAGCTCTATTCTAAGTATGTGCCACTTTGCATCGATAGAATCTTTGAAGGTGCCACTGGTGGAGATGAAATAGTAGAACCATTGAAATTTATAACACCAAGAACTAACCTCAATCTTGTTCAGCAACTTGCTACATTAATTGATTCAATTATCCCACCCCCTGATGCCAACCCTCCTCAAGAGGTTGATCAGCTTGAGAGACTTTTCATTTTCTGTTTGGTTTGGTCGCTAGGAGGTTCTCTCGTGTCAGATGATAGAGAAAAGTTCTCTGAATTCATTAGAACAACAAGTGGTTTGATTTTACCATCAAGTTCTCTATTCGAAAATCAATTCGATATTGATACAATGAGCTATGTACTCTGGGAGAGACAAGTTCAATAATATAGTGCTCCAGGAAACAAAAAGTTCTCTGCTATTCTTGTGCCAACAGTTGATACCTTGAGGTACTCATGGCTTTTAAGCAAGATTATGTCACTGAAGAAGCCAGCAATGTTCGTTGGAGACTCAGGTACTGCCAAGACAGTCACAATTTTTTCACATTTCAAATAACTACCAATGGATAAATACACTATTCTTAACATCAACTTCTCATCCAGAACAACTTCAATGGACTTCCAAAAGAATGTTGAGGAAAATATTGATAAGAGATCATTCAAACAGTATGGTCCTAAAACAGCTGGTAAATAGCTTATTATCTTCATTGATGATTTGAACATGCCCAGAATTGATAAATACGGTACTCAACAACCAGTTGCTCTTATGAAGTTCTTGATTGAAAGAAACCAACTCTATTAGAGAGGTGGTGAGCTCGAGCTAAGAGAAATTGTAGATACACAATATGTAGGAGCTATGACCCCACCAGGTGGTGGTAACAACCCAGTTGATCCAAGAGTCATGTCTCTCTTCTCAGTATTTAACATTACATTCCCCTCAAAGGAGGCTATTGAGAAGATTTACACTTCAATCTTAGAGAAGCACTTGGTTGAGTTCCACGAAGACATTAGAAACATTGTACCAAAAATTACATCTGCAACCCTTTCCCTTTACTTCCAAATCTGCGAAAAACTCCCTCGTACTCCAGTCAAGTTCCATTATATTTTCAACTTGAGAGATCTCTCAAGAGTTTATGAGGGTCTATGTCAAATGACCATTGATAAATTTACCACTAAGGAGAGTTTGATTAGAATCTGGAGAAATGAGTGCATGAGAGTATTTTCAGATAGACTAGTCAATGAGACTGACAGAGGTCTAGTCAGTGAGCAACTTATCGTCAATCTTGTTAAAGAATTCTTCCCTGGCACTGAAGAATATGTAATGAGGAATCCATCACTATTCGGAGACTATGCTCTCTCAGACCCAACTGATGAAGAGGCTGAAGATCCAAGACTTTACGAAGACCTTGGAGAATACGATGATGTTAGAAAGAAGATGAACAAGCTTCTTGAAGATTATGGATTCGAAAACAAACCCATGAACTTAGTGCTTTTTAATGATGCTCTTGAGCATGTCACCAAGATTCACAGAATTATTAGATTCCCTAAGGGTTCTGGTCTATTAGTCGGAGTCGGTGGTTCAGGTAAATAATCGCTCACAAGACTGGCTACATTCACAGCTAACTATGATCTATTTTAAATTGGTCTTGTCAGAAACTACAAGGAAGAAAACTTCAGAGAGGATTTGAGATCCCTTTACAGAGAAGTCTTGAAGAAGCCTAAGACATTCCTCTTCACTGATGCCCATGTCGTTGAAGAAGGATTCCTTGAATTGATTAACAACATATTGACCATCGGTATGGTACCAGCACTATTCCCAGAAGAGGAAAAAGACGGTTTGACATTCCCTCTTGATGATGAGATGAGAAAGCAAGGACTCCCAGAGACAAAGGAGTTCAGATGGTAATACTATGTAACCAGAGCAAGAGAAAACCTCCACATCATTCTTGCAATGTCTCCAGCTGGAGATACCTTACGTTTACGTTGTCGTAACTTCCCAGGTCTGGTATCTAACACAAATATTGATTGGTTCTTCGCTTGGCCTGAAGATGCCTTGGCTGCCGTCGCTTCTCATTTCTTGGTCAATGTTGAGCTCGAAGATGACTAGAGACAACCAGTTACTGATCACATAGTCATGATCCATTAGAGTGTGCAGCAATACAGTATTGAATTCGAAACCGTCTACAAGAGAAAGAACTTCTCCACACCCAAAAACTATCTCGATTTCATTGACAACTATATCAAGTTCTTGGGAACAAACAGAAAATTGATAGATTCAAATGTGAGACGTTTAGAAGGTGGTCTTACAACATTGGCTAAAGCCCAAGAAGACACTGAGTTATTGAGCAAGGAACTTGCTATTAAGAATGCTGAAATCGCTGAAAAGAAGAAAGTAGTCGAGGAACTTATTGCAGATATCACTGAGAAATCAGAGGTAGCCAGCAAGCAACAAGCTGTCGCTGCAGAAAAGAAGGCTTTCTTGGATGTCAAGAGTGTTGAAATTGCTGCTGAGGAGAAAGAAGCCAAGAAACAACTTGATGAAGCACTCCCAGCTCTTGAAGCTGCCGCTTAAGCTCTGAACAACATCAAGCCAGCAGATATTACTGAAATCAAGGCCTTGCCTCAACCTCCTCAGATTATTCAGGATGTGTGTACAATCTGTTATTTCTTGTACCCCAAGGGAGGTGCAGATGATCAGTGGGCATCCGTTAAACTTAAGTTGCTCGGAGATATGCAGCTACTTCAAAATCTTAGAGAGTATAACGTATCAAATACCAAGGTTGATCAAGCATCCAGAGCTAAAAAGAAGATGGCTCTTCTTGAGAAGGAATGTGGCTGTTCAGGTTCAGAACTATCAACTCTTATTAACTCAAAGAACAAGGCTACTGGTGGTCTCTTCCAATGGGTTATTGCCACTATTAAGTGCTATGAAATCTATAAAGAAGTTGAGCCTAAGAGAAAGAAGGCTGCTTTACTCAAAGAACAAAAGCAAACTGCTGAGAACGAACTTGCTGACACTGAAGCCAAATTGAAAGAGGTCACTGAAAAACTTAACATTCTCAATCAAAACAAAGCAGTAAAACAAGCTGAGTTAGATGATCTAGAAGCGAAATCTAGAGAAATGCAAAGAAAATTGAATGCTGCATCAAAACTTATTACTGGACTTGGTTCAGAATAAAAACGTTGGACACTTGACTTAGAAGGTCTTGGTACAGATAAGGTAAAGTTAGTTGGAGATTGCCTATCTGGCTCTGCTTTCTTGTCATATTGTGGAGCTTTCAACTTTGATCTGAGAAAGAAGATGGTCTATGATCACTGGAAATAAGATCTTATATTGAAGAACATCCCTAACAAAGAAGGATATAGACTTGAGAAGTTCTTGACAAATGATGTTGAAATCTCAAAGTGGGCTTCAGAAGGTCTTCCCTCTGATGAGTTGTCAATCTAGAACGGTATCTTAACAAAGAATGCCAGCAGATGGCCACTTTGTGTTGACCCATAAATGTAAGCTGTCTATTGGATTAAGGAGAAGGAAAAGAAGTCAAATCTTGAAGTGCTATCATTCAACTAAGCTGATTATATCAAGAGACTTGAGATGGCCATTAATTTCGGTAAACCTGTTCTATTCGAGGCTATTGATGAGGAAATTGATCCAATGATTGACCCAATCCTAGAAAAGAATATTATCGTCCAAGCAGGAGTCAGAATGATTAAATTAGGAGATTAAAACATTGAGTATCACGATGAATTTAGACTCTACATGACTACTAAAATTGCTAACCCCAACTACCCTCCCGAAACCTATGGAAAAACTATGATTATCAACTTCAACGTCACCTTGCAAGGTCTTAGAGACCAATTATTGAACGAGGTCGTTGGTTATGAAAGACCAGAGCTCGAGAGACAAAGAAAACAATTGGTTATTGAAACATCTCTAAATAGATCTACTCTTAAGGACTTAGAAGATACTTTACTCAGTGAGTTGTCTAAGGAGACTGATATTCCTCTAGTTGATAATGTTCCTCTAATTGAGACACTCGAGAATGCTAAGTCAAAGTCAGTTGAAATCGCTGCTGCTCTAGAAACTGCTAAGATTACAGAGACTGATATTGAAGCAAGTAGAGAGTCTTATAAAGATGTTGCCAAAAGAGGTGCTATTCTTTTCTTCGCAATGCAAGGACTCTCAGCTATTTCTGAAATGTATGAGTACTCACTCTCCAGTTATTTGACTGTATTCAAGAATGCACTCGAATCTGCAAGAAAAGATAACATTCTACAAAACAGATTGAGAAACATCAAGGAAAAATTAACCCAACTAGTGTATGAATTTACCTGCATGGGTATATTTGAAAGACACAAGCTTATGTTCTCATTCCAAATGACAACTATGATTATGGATGGTGATAATGAACTTAATAAACTTGAACTAGATTTCTTCCTCAAGGGTAACACTAGTTTAGATGCCATTGCAAGAGACAAGCCTTATGTATGGCTCTCAGCTAATGGCTGGAAAGATCTATAGAGACTTTAAAGTCTTGGAGAAGTCTGGAAAACTGTTGTTGATGACATTGAAGGCAATGGAAACCTGTGGAAAACTTGGTATGATCTAGAAGCACCAGAGTAAGTTGAAATTCCATGTGGATATTCTGATAAGCTAAGCAAATTCCAGCAGCTTCTTATTGTTAGATGCTTCAGACCAGATAGAGTTGTTAACTCAATCAAGAATTTCATTATTGAAAAGATGCATGAACAATATGTCAAGTCACCACCCATCAGATATGAAAAGATATTCGAGTAATCAACAGAAAAGAACCCAATTGTGTTCATTTTGAGTCCAGGTGCTGATCCCTTCAGTGATGTATAGAAACTAGCTGACCAAGTTGGAATTGGTCAAACTAAATTCAAGTTCTGTTCACTCGGTCAAGGTATGGGAGAGACTGCCAAACAATTGATCGAAAGTGGTGCTATGAGAGGATATTGGGTTATGCTTCAGAACTGCCATTTGCTTACCTCATGGTTGAAGAAACTTGAAGTTATCATCGAAAACATCACAAAGCCAGATAAGAATTTCAGATTATGGCTAACAACTGCTCCAACTGATAAATTCCCATTGGGTATCCTGCAGAAGTCACTTAAGGTAGTCACTGAGCCTCCCGATGGTCTTGGCCAAAACATCAAACAATCTTACACTAAACTCAATGATGAGATGCTGAATGAGTGCCCAACTAAAGAATTCAAATCATTAGTGTATGTACTCGCCTTCTTCCATGCCGTCATCTAGGAAAGAAAGAAGTTTGGAAAGATCGGTTGGAATGTAGCATATGACTTCAACGAGAGTGACTATAAGATTTCGTTCAGACTTATCAGCATGTACTTGAACAAAGCTTTCCAAAACAAAGAAGAGGAACTACCTTGGGAAACGTTGAGATATCTTATTGGAGAGGCTATGTATGGCGGTAGAGTTACTGATGACTTCGATAGAAGAGTCCTCAACACTTACTTGAAAGAGTATGTTGGAGATTTCATCTTTGATAGTAACTAGACTTATTATTTCTCAAGATCAGGATAAGACTACACAATCCCAGTTTGCGAAAACCTTGAGCAATTCATAATGCAAATTGATATGATACCATTGTTCACATCTCCAGGAGTATTCGGTCTTCACCCTAACGCTGAAATTTCTTATTTTACAAACACTGCAAAGGAGATTTGGTTAAATACCATTGAAATGCAAACCTCTGATGTCTCAGCTGGAGGTGGTATTAATAGAGAAGAGTACATTGAATAAGTAGCATCAGATATACAAACAAAACTACCAGAACTATTCGATTACTACAATATCAAGAAGAGCATTGAAATCCCAACTCCTGCTTAAGTAGTGCTTTTACAAGAATTAGAAAGATTTAACAGGCTTTTGGAGAGAATGCATTAATCACTATTTGATCTAAAGAGAGCCTTGTTGGGAGAAATCGGTATGAGTATCGAACTCGATGAACTTGCAAACAGTTTATTCAATGGTTTCCTTCCAACTATGTGGTCATAACTTGCCCCACAGACACTTAAGAATCTAGTTAATTGGATTGAACACTTTATGAGAAGATTCAACCAATATAAGGCTTGGATTGAAATAGAAGAACCAAAAGCAATGTGGTTGTCAGGTCTTCACATTCCAGAGTCTTATTTGACTGCCTTGGTGCAGACAACTTGCAGACAAAAGGGTTGGGCTCTTGATAAATCTACTCTTTACACCATGGTGACTAAAGTCAGAAATCCTGCAGAGGTAAAGAAGAGACTTGAACATGGATGCTACATTTAAGGACTTTATCTTGAAGGTGCCATTTGGAATATGGAAAAGGATTGCCTGGACTACCAGAATCCAAAGGAGCTGATTGTTGAGATGCCACTCATCCAAATTATTCCTATTGAAGCCAACAAACTTAAGCTTAGAGGCACCATCAGAACTCCAGTCTACGTAACACAGGCAAGAAGAAACGCTATGGGTGTTGGTCTAGTGTTTGAAGCAGATCTCAAGACTGATAAGCATCCATCCCATTGGGTATTGCAGGGAGTTTGCTTGGTACTTAACACTGATTGAGTTATTCAAACTGTTATGATTATCATTAAAATGATGTAATCTCATGTAAAATCATGAGATACATCTAACATACTTAATTTCATAATTTCATCACATATACTCTTACTTTAAATATATTTAACCATAGTCATTTGTACATTAATCTTAGAATAATATAAGTAATTGTAAATTATAAACAGATATTTTTATATCTATCTAAATATGAGTGCTACAAGAGTTATCAAGTTCTTTATTAAAAATTCTCCAGTAGGTGAATTAGCTGATGTACTTGAAGATATATCTAATATAATCGGCCAAGATTTCTTAAAGCAACCAGAGATTAAACAAGCTCTTAGAGAGTACTATGAAGCTCACAAGATTCAGCTCTCTTTCACTGATGGAAGTCAGGGACTTGTGACAGGCCTCGGTAGACAAGAGCCACTTGTAAGATATGTGTAGGGTTCTATTCCAGTGTAATCATAAGCATAAAAGAAAGCTGGCCTCTGGGATGATGAAAATGAAGAGGGTGAAAGTAGTTAACAATTAGAATACGAGGAATAATTTTAAGAGGAGCAATATCAATAAGAATAAATTGTAGAGGAGTTTGTATATTATGATCCAGTAAAAAAAGCTAAATTCTCATTCCACCCAATCACCTTAGAAGCTAAAATTGAAGAGGAAAGTGTTGATCTAGAAGCCTCCTCCCTACCTTCAAACATTGTTTAACTAAGGTAATTTTTCTCCAACCATTACGTATTTAGAAACGATGTAATTGAACAAATGAACCTATATGTTGCTAGACAGTTTAGAAGAGGAACAACTCTATTTACTGTTTTCGCAGATCATAGCTCAATCAAGGTAGAGGTCTCATGCCACAACTTCAACTTCAAAAACTACTGGGGTGGAGAATTTCTATCATCCTACAATGCAGATGTCTCAAATCAATAATTAGATGGAAGTGTCAAGGTTCACAATCACTATTTTGAGCAAGGAAATATCTAATTCAATCTGAACAAAAATTTCCCAGCCTCTAAAGTTAAGAGCTTTAATGGAAAAGGCATTGTTGATCAAATAGCAAAATTAGAGACTGATGTAAGATTATTATGTAATTAAGCATAAATTTTAGTATCAAGAGGGACTTGAGGAGATGTATACTGAAGTATCAGAAAAGCTCTTGAAGGGTATGAGAAGAATCCTTCCTGTTACTAGGACTAAATTCGATTGGAGCAGACCAAACCTAATTTGAGGCGATGCAAATTGATTAGAATGAAAAAAGGTATTATGAATGAAATGCAAGTATCTATTAAATTATCCAATTCAATGCATTTACCCTTATTTCTAAATGCATCTCTAGTGGGGTTTTGGGGTTTTGGGGTTTTGGGGTTTTGGGG